CTGAAGTCGGGGCCGATCACCAAGGTGTCATCATTGCAACCACCCATCTGTTTTGGCATCCTGCGTTGGTGCAATTTATATGTTTCAACTGAACCCACATTAATATTGGTTTATTGTTTCAGATTCACGTACGAAAGGGCAAGGTGTTTCAGTTCATTCGCCAGTCGAACATATCGCTGAGCTGGCTCACAGGCAGGCCGGCATTCTCATTCGAGAAGTCCTTAATTTCCGACAGTCTATGAAACTTGACCATTGGCCCTGCATCATCGCCGGCGGTAAACACGCTAAATTCGAAGTGAATTACTGTGTGTTGACTTCCTCGTGATTCTAGACTTCAACTTTACTCCCGATGACCCGGCATACTCCTTGCTCGTCGGCGATTCGCTTACTGAGGCCCAGTCTCAGCGTTTGCATACGTCTCGTGTTATTCATATAACCATCGATCCCACTATAGTACCAACTGCCAAGAAGGCAGACGATGAAGAGGGAGATGGCTCAGAGGCTGATCCAGATAGGGTCATTAATAACTCCAGAGTAGCCACTTCATCAGACGGACTGCTGTCCGACCTTGAATTGACATCACTCTTCATCAATGGTGCCAAGCTTCGGAGCGCATATGATGAAGGTCAAAGGACTCAGAGAGACAACGGCACCCCAGGTGATTTGTACACATTTGGCGATCGAGTCTCTTTGCCCCCGACCAGACTCGGAGCTCATGAACCAATGTGGACTAGTTACACAAACTACTGGAAGACGACGCTAGGTTTCTTCGTCTCTCCCGTCTCCCTTCGCTTGCTGAATTTGATGTTGTTAGACTACATTTTCTTCGTGGACACACCCAAACACAGCATCAATGTCGCAGGCTACCTCAACCCACATCGTACCACCGACATGGAAGCAGGTCTTCCTCAGATTGGGGTTTGCGGAAGTGATCACATCTCTCTTTGTGCAGAACTCCTTTTATCATGATAGATTACAACGTCGAGGAGGTATGTGGCATAACCTGTCTAGGGTATTTCAAATGGAATGGAGCCCAACCAGCATTGGTAAATGGGATGAAGAAGTAAAAGAAAACCTGATATGATAAACGGAGGGATGAAGAAAACACGGAAATAGGCACACGGACCCTGGTCCAGTGGAACGATTTATGATATCTCAAATTATTTCGACCTGTCCGACCCTGCAAGTAATTTATCAAACAGTTCTTGAGCAGCCTGCTCATTTCGAAGTTGGATCATATAGATGATGCCTGTCCGTGCACCTTTGGCATCGCTAAGTTCAATAGCAACACCAGTCTTGCCCACTCGTTCCACGCCATCCGTAAGCACTATCGTCGAGATGAGGATGTTCTTCTTGTCTTTTGAGCCCGCTTCGACAACGAGTTGCTTGACATTAGTTGGCTGCTGATGATAGAGAGTCAGTCGCGCAGAGCCCAACGACTTCCATTGCGCGTGCTGTTGCTGGTGGAAGACCCTGCACTTCATTTCCGTTATCGTGGGCTTGGCCGGACCCAGAGGCTTTCGCTCTTCAATCGGTGAAGTTGGAGGACTATTATCGTGGAATATTGATTCGGTGAACGAGTTTGCTCTAGAACTGATCTGCTGCGATGGTAGGATGGGTCTTATCGGAGCATTATTGCCGCTGCCCACAGAACTAATAGAATCTGTACGTTGGTCATAAGGTCGTGATGGTATCGGCAGCCCTCCAGGTAAGGAAGGAAGTGGTGGTGCTTGACCCGGACCTGGGGCATAGTCATACTGAGAGCGGAGAGACCGCGATGATGCCGACTTATGGAGTCTCCCGGAGGGCGCCTGCGGCTCAGACGGTGGTCGAGGGGGAGGAAGTCCATGAGGAGGACCTCCAGGACCCGTAGACCGAGAAGGAAATGGCTGAGCGTGATGGGGTTGTTGAGAAAAGTTCATAGATTGAGCTTGGGGGGGTGCGCTTTGTGGAGGGCGAAGATGTTGATGAATTGACGGGTATTGGTGATTGAGAGGCGGTTGATGATTGAGAGGCGGTTGATGGTGAAGAGACTGCATCGAGGTGTGACGTGACGAATTGACTGACGATTGATGATTTAAGGGTTGTTGTTGTGGGTATCCTTGAGCAGTAGGAGGAGAGTGCACTCTATGAGATGCGCCTCCCATGCTGGGGTCCTGATCGGGGAAGGGATGCGAAGAGCTGGTCGTGCTTGCACTCCGAGCTGGCGGCATGACCTGACCCAGACCGAAGGAGGAAGGTGGCGAATGTGCGGAAGCTCCTTGACCAGCAGATGGCTTGCGCATAGGGTGAGGGACACCAGAAGGAGCATCCTGCAATGACGGCGTCCTCTGTTCGCCTTGGAAATTTTGCGTCTGGGGTATAGCAACAGCTTCGCTAGGACTAATGTTCCCATTCCCCCCCACGACTTGCCTTGGAGCAAATTGTCCTAAGCTTGTTTTGCGAGGGGCGAAATTCTGTTGTGATGTGATGCGAGGCCTCGAGAAGTTAGGGGCAGAGGAGAGCTCAGGAAGCTCAGGTCTTCCATTCAACACACTAGAACTGGCAACCGGCTCTCGTGGAACACCCTGTTGAGTGTCATTAGCCTGCTCACGCGAAGGAAATCCCTCATTTGCAAGAGGAAGATCAGCAACTGGTGATACAGGGGGGCCTTTAGGCAAGGGGGGAACTGGTTCTGAAGCAATTCCAGACACTTCTCAAGATGTCAGTAGGGGATGGTGCAATCAGAGGTACATGCACATACTGGTCCTTGCAAAATCGATACACTCTTTGAATTCCTTGATGATCTCGTCACGGGATTGCATTGAAATGGCCTCAAGGATCAGCGTCTCTTTACGCATGATGGAAATCTGAAGTACGTTATCTGCCAATATTTTAAGATTTTATTCGGTGTGATGATCACGTTACGCACCTTGATCAGGTACCTCGGTCACCTTCAGGACTTTTCCAGAAAGTGGAGGGTAGCAAAGCCGCATATCAGGACCGTCGACACCCGCTGCAATCCTGTCGTCCAAGGACATCTCCTCACATATCAAGAATAGATCTGATAGAATAAAGACAAAGCCGCGCTGGTGAACAACGTTCACGCCTGTCGAACGAGGAGTAAAATGGACGACAACATTGGCCGACAATTTAAGTTCTCTAGCATAAGGCAACGTTGGCGGAGACATTTGCAGACGAACGAGCTAAAGTAAAATAATCAGCGATCACCACGACACATCATGGGAATGTACGAACCTTGGGCTCCATGGTAAATATGTCGAGTGTCATATCTGTCGCCAATCGTTTCTCCAGGTTAGCGATGGATGTAGGCATGGCTGCTGTGGAGTTACGACTGATGGATGTCATCCCCGTCTCCCGGGAAAATTGTTCTCTAATTGCATGTCAACATCATGGACGGCATAACATCATCGTCCATGCTCACCCGCTTGACGAACCGCTTCCACGAACGGATGTAGTTGCGCTGACATTTCCTCCCCCAAATTGACCTGAAAGTAGCTGGTCGTGCGTTGCATCAAATTCTGTTACTGGAGACATCGCTGGAGAAGCGATAGGCCCAGCCTTCTCGTTAGATGTGACAGGCGGCAGTACGAAGGAGGAAGCGGGAGGACTGTGGCCAACCTTGACCTGACATCTTCCGTCCAAAGTCTCCAATAGATCGTCTAACTTTTCAAGAGCACCTGTCAATAGTCGATGGTCGCTCCTGCCCGGTACGGTGCTCCTTAGCAGTCTGTTGTATAATTTCCTGTAATATAAAAGACGACCCTTAGGCAACAGAAATAGGGCATCCAAGGTCCATAGCGATGGGTCAGCTAGCTGAGAGGACTGAATTGCAGCTATTGAGGGAGGGCTAGCCGTAGAGAACGCCTCGAGAACGCCTGGAAGCTTCATATTTGACTTGACAGGCTCCCATTGATCAAAACCAGTAGAGAATTTCTGACAGTACGTCGTGTAGGGTCGGTCAAGGTCATCAATCTTTGGAGCACATTCAGAATGCAGGAAAGTCTGCCTAGTGCTAAACTCTCACCCATCGCATCAAGAGGTCACCCAGAGCTTTGGGTGAGGACGGATTGGCGCCGATTTCTTTCAGTTTCTATGCACGTGTTAGCCACATTGTACCCGTGAAAATGCATTACATACCGCGAGGAGTGTGCGATTTGTCTTATAGACACTCTCAATGCTGCGAAACATGACATCGAGCTCTGGCGGTGGCAAATTGGACCGTGACCATGCTGCGGCTACCCTCTACAAAAACAATGAATTTGACAAGTCTGTAATGAATTCAGGAACGCACTCGTATTATGCCAGTCAAGTACTCCACATAAATCTTTTCGCTCTCGATAAGATCGGTCAAAGGACTAGATTTCTTCGTCTTTTCTATTTGGGAGGTAGGGGATGTAGGAGACATTGATGAGACAGTTGGTCCAACTGCTATTGCGGGAGATTTGGGCGAGTCAAATCCTGGTGGCCGGTGTGAATATGTGCCTAGAACGAAAATAGGGCGAAAAAGATGTGTTACCTAGAGATGCCAGGCTTGGTATTGGAGGTAGTTGAGGACCGTTGTTATCAAGGTGAGTATCTAGTACAAGGCCGATATTCTTGGGAGGTGGCGGTGGTGATACATGTGAATCTGGTGGTAGAGGAGGTAACTTTAGATCACGACCTAAAGGTCTGTATTCGACGCCAATGGAACCGGACATTGTTGATAGAGCGAGAGATTCTAAGTGGCTGGGATTAGAGCATCAGTCCTGTAGGCAAGCTTAAGCTTGGCGGATCTGTAATTCAATAAAAGAGGTGACCGACAGTCGCGAGGATAACGTGCACAACGACTATTATTTCAATCAATTTTTGATATGAGAACATTTCCATCAACAACCACCTCAGTTTGTTTTTCAAATATTTTACACAAGTTAACTACAGAGAAGTCACGTGATGAACCCGTACCTAGAATCACAATCAAAGGACCCACTCCAGCTTCGTGCTCCGTAAGACCTTACTCAACTCGTCTATTCCATGTCAGATAACGTTGTGGAAGCCAATTGGGTTCCTTCCACTCTTTATCAGAAATCTCAGCTAGAATCATTTGCGCGATAACTTCGGCACTAGAAATCATGTCATGTATGAATTGAGCCTGAGACAGTTCAGCCACACAATGTAAGACTTACCATCCGAATGCGCGCGGCATTCCATGACCAGTATATCCTGCAGCGATGTACTGTTTCTTGTACAGGTCTCTATCTGGATTCGCTGCGAGTAAGTCTGCTACGGCACCAACCTGGCGAGGGGTACATCAACCAACAGTAGTTGCAAGAGTTACTTGGACGTACAAATGGATCCCCCGTCTTCGTGTAGCCCGTAATTCCAGTCTAAACCTTCGTCAGGGATATCCTCACCCACGTAGAAAGAGCACCTACCCATTCCATCTCAGGCTCCGAATGAGGGTCATATTTACCTTCAAATATAGATGGCAAGAACTCGCGGAGCGCTTTCCCAACGAGAGGGTGCGTTTCAGAGTCGTCGTCCACATATAGCTCACGACTGGGTGCCGCAGCTTCCTGGCCACCACCGATGATGATCAACGGTTTTTCGGTGTCGCGTGTTACGGGTCGGGGGAACCAGTATGCAAACCCCTAAAAGAGAGATTGGTCACAAAAAGACGTGCTAGGATAGAGTGGCTTACTTTGTTTCCACTCCAGCTCGATATCTTAATTTGATCAGTACCGACAGAAGCACGGGTGGTCATTACTTGTCCTCGAGCGGGTATAATTCCATCTGGGCTCGTGAGGAAGGGAAGAAGGTGAGAGGCATATCCATTTGTAGCATGGACGATACGGGAGCACGATATGCTACCCCGGTTCGTCACGACTGTATAAGTGGAAGTCGTTTCATGCGTGACTGCAGTCACCGGCGTCCGAGTGTGCAAGCTGAGGGAGGCGTATTGCCTAGCGTGTGCTTGAGCATGCTGGTACAACTTTGTGACAAGTTTTAGCGGCCAGACATTATACCCTGGCCTGCGGAATCCTGGGTAAGGGACGCCATATTCCTGGTAATGAAAAGGTTGAATCAGACTAGGAAGATTATGACTAGCGAGAACAGACACCTTCTCGAGTTCCTCCTTCGAGAGCCATTCCACACCATCTAGATTGAGCTGTGCTTGACGTGCCATATCGAAGTCATTGTGCGCGTTTTTTGCCTCCTTCTCCGTGAACAAGAGACTTATGTGTCCACCTTCTACGAGGTCGACGTCGCTCGCCCAGCCATTCTCCTCTATGATCTTGACGAGCAGAGAAGTGGTGTGTTGCTCCAGTTCATATGACTTAATTGCCTCGACCGTATCAAATGATGCCCGACGTTGAGCAAACCTAGTGAACGCAGCCGGTGTAAGATGTTCACCATTCCTTCCTGTAAACATTCTTTTCTGCATGAGGATCTAAAGAAACACACGGTGCTCCACGCACCGGTCGCTCCTGAGCCTGAAACGCGTCAGTACTGTACAAAAAAACTCACAATCAGCAGACAGACTGACAGAAATCTCTCGCCTCGAGTATCACGATACTGAGCGAGTGTTTGATAGAAAGCGAGGCATTATTCAAGAGTTCGATAAGATGGTACGCGACGCCAACGCCAGTGAAACCAGCCCCGATGATGCAGATGTCTGCCTCGCTAGGCAGAGGATCTTGGCTGCCTTGGCCAGCGAGTGGATTGACGTCCGGGGAAGAATCAATCCAGAAGGAGCGGGTTGGATTGCGAGATGGGAGTTTAGCAGGAGTTGGATGTCCTGATGGCGGTGTCTCGAGTACATTCTGAGAATGTTCTAACTTACCGAGTATCTGAGGGTTAACAGGCGGCATTATCGACTAGGCCAACTAAGAAGAAAACGAGAAAGGGCCGCATCCAGTCTCTCATTTCCGTGAAAAAGATAAGATAAGATGACCATTAGCCTGGGCCTTGCTGGAACTTCGAATGTGTTGAATTAGTATTATAACCACAAATGGGTACCGGCGACTACGCACCCACAACCCTGACTCCGCTTTTGGGAGACAATCATTCAGCCGTTCGGCGTTCATCGCATATGTTCTGAGGCAAGCAAAAACTGTGAGGTTCAAGCAATACTCAGGGTATAGCGCCGTACGAACAATGGTCCCGTTAAGTACGTAGATTATCGCAGTGTAACTGCTGATTTTCCACACAAGAACTAGGACAATGGGGGAAACTACCTTCAAGAATCAAAATCAAGACCAACTTCAGCACTCGCACTGGCAAACCCAATGAATGAAGACGAAGTATACCACTAGATAGATAGATAGATAGATAGATAGACACGATTATTTGACCGCCAATACCAAGAAAGGGGATCAAACTTGCTGCCTCAGGCGGCATTACTCAGAGTAAGTTACTCTAGCCTGCCCCATTCTTTGCAGGCGATGCATGTCCTGCCGGTCCATCGGCCTTTCACACCTTCGTCACAGAGGCCTTTGGCAGCCCCGCTCAGTGGTAGCAGCCTCATGGACCTCGATCCCGTTTGATACACTCGAGAGCCGGTCGGACTAGTTCATGGTTCAGGGAATGGTCTGGTGCGTGGTTCGGGATAGGGCCTGGTCAGCAAGGAGGTCAATATACGGTCGACGAGAGCAGCCATGACAACCTCTCCATACCATACAGTAGCTCGAGATGACGCACAGACGAGATAGTGACAGAGGGTAACAGATGTTTGATAAAAGAAAGATAACGAGCAGACGAAGCCCCGTTAAGTGCAACATCCAACCCGGTGCATAAGCGACAGAAGTGCAACACTAGGCAGCACAGAAGAAATTTGACCGATTCAGGATGGGTACGCTTCTTTGGAACAAAGACTGAAGAGAGTTGGAGAGCTGCCTCTATGATTCAGACGATAGACGCAGGCAAATCAGGAAGGGATGTGAAATAATAATCCTCGGGAGAAAGACACGCAGGATCATCACTGACCACAGTAACATACTGTACAGAGCGCTGATATCGACCATTTGAGAAAACCGATGGTAAACGACTTGGTAAACAAGGTTCTTGTTTCCAAATATTTTACACAACTAACTAATTTCAAAGATTTAATCCAATAATAATTACCACCTTGACACTAGTACTATTATCAACGATGTCATATCCCCAGCAATGGCTCAAAACCACTTTCTCCTCGCGGTCACGCGCCGTCGAACTCTTACACCCAGAGTTAGAGAAAGGCGTCATCACAAAGCATGATTTTGAGCTAGCAACCAGATTCCTGCCTGGGGGGCACAGACACTGGCCTGTTCGTCTGTTGTTCCGGTATCATGTTCATATTTGACCGCGCATCCTTACGAACAGGCGATATATGGGGTCGGGGCTGCAGGCGCCACCCTCGGTTATGGGTACTCCATGGCGCGTCCCAGGTGGTCTCACGCAAAGCTTGCATGGGGCTCGGGCGCTGCCACCGCCATCGGGTTGGTTTTTGGCGGGGTCAGACAAGTCTTGGCCCACAGACAGTTTACAGAAGCTCTGGAAAACCCCGCAGGCTTTATAGAAGCGTTACGCAATGTTGACCGCAGACTTGGCGGCGATGGGCAGTTGGGCTTCACGCTGTCACGAATACGAAAGGATGCTGCACATTTGGACAACACTGCTACTTCCGGGACTAGTCAAGAGCATGGCCCGGAGATGGTCAGTGAGGAGAATTGGGGGGCGTCTTTACCTCATTCTGATGGCGAGTAACCGTATTGGTCCTGCTATATGTCACTCTGACATTCTCGCAGCCCCTTCACCCCAAGTAACTCAACCAAAGAATCGCTGGGAAGAGATACGTGCAGCGAACGCACGTTCTGCTGGTTATGTGTCTTCATGGGACACTATCCGACAACGTCATGAACGGAACAGATTGCCATACCCAACATCATCGCCGAGTAACGACCCACCATCGTCTGGAATGGATGATCGAACAGCAGAGCAAGCCAAGTTTGACGCTATGCTGGAGGCCGAAAGAAGGAGAGGACAATCACAAGACTTCCGCGAATTTGTATGATGCTAATGCACCGACGAGACATTTCTTTCGATACGTAATGAGAACCAGCTACCAATAATTCAATGCATTATAAGTGGATATACGCACAGTCCAAGGCAGTCTACAGTATAAGTAATGGTTCGAGATGAAGAGATATAAACTCATATGCGGTGATTCCATCGCACTATTCCGCTCTCGGAAGGGAGTGACTGCTGTAGCTCGTGGGGGGACCAGCTGGGGAGGATGGGAGGTGAATTTTCAACGGGGCGGCAGTATGAATCTAGTGAGCCTAAATCACGTATGAATATCGGGGAATCATACTCCATTGAGTGTAACATGGAGGGATTTGGCAGAGGTGCCATCTGAGCATTTTCAGGTAATGTTGGCGTCGCGAACAATGTGGTATGAGAGAATGGATACAAGGGTAGCCCCACCTCCAATGGCTGCTTCTGGCTTGTCAATCGTACTATGTCTCTCATAATGCCTTGCAATAACTTCTCTTGGCGAGCTGCACCATCGTGAATGAGAAGTCTTTGATAAAAGAAATATACGTACTACCTATGGGAGATCTCACTCCGTAGTTGATCATTGCTCGTCTGTCATACCAATCAATGGAGGTTCTACGAGGTTTCAAACGAGAGCGTACCGCAAGACGTTGATTTCTCCCCATACCTGGTCTTCTCTTGCCTCATCCCCTACTTCTATGAAGTGTTTGCAGACCTGAACTTGAACGACTGCGGCAAGGTACCAACAGATCTGCGATAGACAATGAATGACTTCTGATTGGAACAACTCAAAAACTCACTACCACAAATGGGTGCAATCGTGATATATCCAAAGAAGTCTCGGATAACTTGAAGTAGGCTGAAAGAATGGCTCTTGCTGCATTGATACATCGACTCGTGGATATGCGATTCAAGTCGGTTAGGTCAAGATAAGGGTTATGAAGTGTAATCGTAGCCCTAAAAGTTGATATGTGAGAATTCACGAGAGGAAGGCAGGGCAAAGCACTTACGCGTACGGTATAATATGGACCATATATAAGTCTGTGTCCACAGAGCCATGATTACCAGGCAGATCGTTAGCGCTCATCATTTTGAACATGGTTGGGAGGTTCGCTAGGAAGTCATTGTAGACAAGTCGATCGAGATCCGCAAAGCCAGGTAATTCGAAAGGGTCTTGAAACTTGCTAGGCGCAGTCGGAGCATGCAAGTTTCCTCGGACATTGAAGTCTGTGACACGACCAAACACCATGATGGCCTTGATCAGGAGCAGAAACGAATCCGTGTATTTCGGCAAATGTGTGGTAAAGACGTCTTCCGTACGCATGTCTTGAGGATTGCTAGGCATTGATTGCTAAGGATGAGGTCAATCCGGAGCCGTTATAAGCTCTCAAACAAACGATAACTAATGCTTACCTCTGAGTCAAAGTCCTCCCCTCGGAGAGGAAGCTCAGTTCCCATGTCCCTCTCGTCAATTGCATGGATCCATCCACCGACCGACACTATACGGTCAAAGATGACTGTTGTCCACCAGGTGCGACGACGTGACTCCAGATCTATGAGGTCCCTCGGGGGAGCAAGATACCCACCCGGTAATCCACTGTTGTGAGTCGAGAATGTTCCTGGATAATTTAACCGCAGGGGTATGGCAACGCGAGTCTGGAATCCTGCAAAAATCCAAATTTCAACCCATCGTCCTTCTTGATAGAAATACCAAGCAAGCAGGATGCACGCCTGAACGACGGGAAAGATATCTTGGCCAGTGGCCATGGTTTTGTCGATATACTGTCGAGTTTTACTTGCGTGGAACTCCGCAAATTCATCACGTCTCGTGCCGTCGGGCAAAATTGCCACATTGCGGGAGGACCACCTGGACGCTGACGCACACTATTACCGCTGTCAGTGAGATCCAGGATTAAAATTAGTGACAGATTCACTATTGCATGGAGTATGGCCGAGTGTGGAAAGGAAGGATCCCTAGGATCCAGACGTACAGCTGCAAGAAAGGATGGGCGATGAAGGATACGAGGACCACAAGGATCGCACTTGAAAAACACATCAATACTATGGAAAACTTAGTGAACGCGATAGACAGAGCATCAAACCTCACTAGTGCTCCAAAACACTGCGCTCAGGGAGATCGGGATTCCAGCCGGAGTATATTATTTCAAGAATGGTGTCAGTGGAACTCTTGTGCCGAACCTCGTAAAGTTCTGGACTATTGCTGTTGTTACGGGGATCAGAATCGTCCATATGACCTGGAATTATAAGGTCTTTTGGGTAAGGAAGCGACGGTGTTTGAACAGAACTAGTGGCAGGACTTCCGGATTCGAGATTCAAGGAAGATGAGGCTGATCCAGAGCGGAACTGACCGAGATGGCGTAGTAGTTGCTGAGATTGTCCTGACGGACCATTGTTTCGTTGCTCTTGAAGTTGAGTCTTCAATTTCGCTGGAAGCGATTCAGCCGACATATAGTTGAGTAGGCTATGCAACGTACAAACTTCTTCTTCCAGAAGCCGAATTTTGTCGAGAGGATTTGTATCTGGCGCCAAAGCGAGACCATCTACTGGATCATAAACGCACTGCGGTTCTGCAGGGTGTCTGAGATCTGGATGTGAACATCACAAGCCGCATGTATTCGTAGAGAGCTTACGCGTAGTCGGGCGGTGCAGGCACACTTATGAGGGACTGCCATTGCCTTGTGTCCGCCATGTCAGGCTATCTTGGTACCAAACACCGAGAGCTATTGTACGCACTTGACACATGTGCCACAGTGGGGACGGGCAGCATCACATTTCTAGAGGTCTGAGTTCAACCTTTGGCAAGCGAAGGCAGCCGATCATAAACTCACGAGTTTTCTCTTTCGACATGGCCGACAAGCCTTTGAAGGATAGTAGAGA